ACGAACAACGAAGATCCGCAGAGAATGCCGGAACTGCAGTGATATATATATATATATGTATAGAATTATAAATATATTAAGAGTTATACTTATACTTATATATATATATATCAACATTATAATAATATAATATAATATAATACAATATAATAAAATATAACATAATAAAATATAACATAATATAATATGATATAACAGATTAGAATAGAATAGAATAGAATAGAATAGAATAAAATAGAATAAAATAAAATAAAATATAATATAATATAATATAACAGAATAGAATAGAATAGAATAGAATAGAATAGAATAGAATAAAATAGAATAAAATAAAATATAATATAATATAATATAATATAATATAATATAATATAATATAATATAATATAATATAATATAATATATATGTATATAATTTAAATATAAATATAAATATAATTATAATATATATATATATATATATGTATTTGTGTGTGTGTGTGTCTGTTTCTTGGTCTGTGTTCGTGTGGCTTCAAGCCCCCAGCCTGAGACCAACAAACAAAAAACATCCAGAGAAGATGCCGGAACTGTTTTGTTTTTATGTTTTGGGTTCCTTGTTGTTGTGGTGTTTTTGGTTGTTTCAGCTCCGTCGGGTAAGGACCCACAGAACGAGGTCGCCGCAACCGATTGATGTGGCTTTGCTCACGGGCACGGGTGCGTGCAAAAGGTTTACCCATGTGCTTTAACTGCACATGGGTACGTTGGATGGCATCCAAGGGGTTCGGGATCCCTTCTAAAATTCACGAATCAAGCTGGCGGCTCCTGTGCTTTATTTCAATCCCTATCCTAGACCAAATAGCCGTCTGGATGGTAGATATAACAATTCAGGGGCTTTGCATGGCAGAACAGGTTACACTGAAAACTCCTTCTTGATCCGGCTCTAGGACAACCCCAAGATTTCCTGACTTAAAGCAACTCTGAACACCTGAAGCTTGTTAGTAACAGTGTTTCACATGGTCGGTCGAAATCCCGAAGCCAATTGCGGTTACCCAGCCCAGACAGCCAGTCATGCGCGTTTGAGGTAAGCAGACATCAGAGTTCCTAGTCCAAGAACTTCCCCCAGAATTGCTAGATTCTAGACTCAAAAGTCACCTATCCCACGAGGGTTGTCCTTGCAAGGAGAATAGACCCGGCCCCATAGTGTACTGTAGTCGCTCGTAGTCCATCACGCATTGGAGCACCTAAAACCCTCGACCCTACCAGGCCATGGGCTTAAAACATCGCCCCAGAGTCACGCCAGCCACCATCCGAAAAGACACCGCTGTCAACTCTCACCCTTAATTCATAGGATCTCTTGTCCGGAAGCCTAACGCCAGACAGGCCCGAAGCTCCTAAGCCCAGATCCTGGACCCCGAATCCGACGGGTCCTCCAGGAAAGAATCGTTGCAGCTAATTGACGGCTACCGGGCGCCGGTGCATGATGACAGCCTGGGTCTGGACTGGGAAGTTCAAGACGCCCTGAAGAAGTTCGATTTCGGATCAGCTAATGCACCATAAGCATCGACCAGGACACCCAAACAACGAAGCATCTTAGTCTTACTGAAAGTTTCCTCCGGGATCGACCGTGTCTTGGAGTTAACCGCAACGTTGTCTCCAGAACAACCTTCCTCAGCCTTCATTCGAAACCTGAACGCTACGCCCGCCAGTCGTCTATCCTGCAGCTCTGCTCTAGACCCATGATAAGAGCTAAGAGGCCTGACACGGAAAGCACAACGACGACGACGACCACTCCTAATCCTACCACTACTCCTGCTCCTGATCTTCTGCTCTTCTGCTCCTTCCCCTGCTCCTCCTCCTGCTCCAACAACTCCTACAACACTTACTACTCCCATTACTCCGACTATTGCTGGTACTCCTGCTGCTCCGACCGCTCCTACTACTCCCATTTTGCATACTCCTCTTCCTACTCGCACTTCTCCTCCTTCTGCTGCTGCACTGCCGCTTGCTACTACTGCTAATTCCGGCTGCCAATCACTAGAGTAGAAGCTGACCTTGCCCAGCCGTACTAATTTGTCACAGTATGACATGGCCTGTGTTTCACGCCCCTTCGCAACCCAAAGGTCTCTGCGTTGACAGCATTCAGACATGCGTTTGGAATCCCGGTGCAAGCTTCACGAAAAGCAGAATGGTTCACAGACTGAAATCCCTATTATCGATCCCAAACTATCCCACTAGCAGCATTGAGGCCGCGATGTCTTCATATGGCAGCTTCAGCTAGCGTGATAGGATTCACAAGCAAAAATCCGTTCCCTGTTTTGTATGATTTCAGCCCCAAGCCCCAGATCCTTTCCGAGGCTGCTAGCACTCTCGGCCCGCTGCGCGTCATCAGCACTCTGAGGAAGCTCGGATTTTGGCACCAGGCCTTCATCGGGAGTCTTTACTGAGACTTAAGGCTATAAAGTCCGAGGTTCGAGTTCGACTGCTACCATGAAGTCACGCCTGGATGATGATGATGCCGATGCCGTCGTCATGGCCTTAACACTGAAGCTGATCGTGGTGATCCTGGTGATCTGGATGAGGACGATGAAAACCCCAAAGCCCGTGGTCCTGCTTATTTATCGCCTGTTTCAGAGCCCTAAGCTCCTGAGCCCAAACATACTCGGTCCCAAGTATCAAACTCGTCGAAAACTCGATCTCCTGAATTAACACTGGATGGGCTCAACATCCACCACACCCTACAGGCCCCAAGCTGCCTAAGAAGCCGATGCATTTGCGAACCCAGCAACCCAAAAACGCAAAACCTGAACGCGTGCCACCTCCAGCTGCGTCTCCGCCTGGCTGCGCGCCGCATTGCCACCAGTCCTGAGAGGGTCGCACTTGTCAACGAAACTGAAAGGATCCGTATGAAGGTGGAAACCTGGGTATCAACAAAAAGGACCCCCCCTCCCGTTTTGAATAAGCCATACATCTCAGGACGAAGGGTAGCGCCCGCCACTTAGAGCTCAAACGGTTTAAGGTTTGGGAGATCAGGAAGCTGCACTCATCTGCGTCACATCGTCATCTCTGAACAGCATTAACCCGGAGGCCGCAAGGCCGTTGCTGGAGCAGCTGGAGCAGCTGATCGACCTGTCGCACATGGGCAGAGGCTTGTGCACTCCAACTGCGGCCTGGGGGTTTGGATGTTCGGGTTCAGGCTTCAGCTTCAGGGATGAGGAGACTCTGTTGCATACTCTATCGCTCTCAAGATGGACACAAGGGACTCCCAGTCAAAAGAGTGGTATGGGGCCTAGGGGGCATCAGAACTGGAGCATGCTCAACACTCTCTCCGAAAGCCTCGAGGCAAGTGCTCAGGAGGCTCAGGAAAGCTTCAGGCATAACGGGGCTTGGGTTGAGGGCTTAAGGCGGCTTAAGGTTAAACATGGTTCATGGAGGAAGGAACCAGCTTGAACATTCAAGCGTCACACGGATTTAGGGATGTCGCGGGTGTGCAGCTGAAGGGCAATCACTTCTAGACTTCAGTGTTCAGGGTTCCCCGTTCGGGAAGTATGGGGGACAATTCGATTGCCGGGGTAAGGACAAGACTGCATGAAATCTGAATTGTAAACTTTCAGAGCGACACTGTTGCTTTGAGCTTGGTGAGACTTTGGCTGGTGTCCAGGCTACCAATGGCAACAAGAGCACTTGAGAGGAAGTACAACACCGCCGAACCAGCAATGAGCAAACAATGCGGCTGATACGGTTTACTATCGAAGACACGAGGTAAGCCTTACGAAACCAGCAGAGGCCGTGAGGCTTGAAAATGCTCAAGGCCACAAACACTAGGTAAACCGATCTGCATACCCTCACACATGCCCGGGATCTGACGCAAAAACGACTTCATCCCCCCAACCCAACACTTCTAATAAGGAAGTGTCAGGCCCGAGACCCTAAACTTCCACACCCTAACCCTCAAATCGACACACAAGCACACAGCCTCGGCTTCCATTCTTGGAATCAGCGCATCGTGGCGTTCGTGATCGTGGAAGCAACTTGTTGTGTTGAGGCTTCGTTTATGGTCTAGGAGTCAAGGGGTTTAAGCAACCCCAAACCGCAATCTGCCGCCGTCTGCTTCGTAGGCAGTGCTTCAGTAATGCTGTCTACAAAACAGCGGCACATTGCAAAATCCTGTGGCAGCGGATGTGAAGCTTATGGAGCTAAAGGGAAGGGTTCTGCGTGTTTCGTTCTGTGTCTGGGAGTCCGGGAAGCCAAGGGCACCAAAAAGGGAGCATACGTTTATCCTCAACATATTGGAGCACTGGAATTACATGGTTCTGTGTCCGAGTTTTTCGGGAAGCCTAGCCTTCGGCCGACCGAGCACTTGTTGGCCCCAAGATTTAAGCCTGACTTTGCAAGGAATGCGGTGCTGTTTTGAGACATTGGCTGCAGACTGAGCAGTGCTTCAGGACGTGCCGCTGCTGCGCGAAGCTATGAGCCCAAACATCACCGAGCAATAAGTGGCAATACTGATCTGGACAGCAAGGACCAATGCAAGCGCCAGGGCAGTTGCCAGCGCGCGCTGCCGACTCGCAATGGTCAGGGTCGTTCTGCACAGCGGCAATAAAAGCCGACTCGTGATTTGCTAGAGTAGAGCCAAATAGTGATTTGAGACACCACCACCTCAGTCAAATCAGCACCGGCACTACAGACGAAAGGACCAATAAGGACGACAAGCCGCAAGCAGAACAGCCAAAGGCTGCAACGACAATGATCTGACTGACGGAATGGTCCGACTTGGCCCAAATCCTGCACGCACTCCACTTTCTCCGAAGCAGGTGGTCCGGAGCAGGGCGTCGTCTGACAACCAGATCACCCTTTCCAAGGTCCACGGTTCAGGCTTCATTAACGAGTTAAGCATCGGTTAGTTAGGGCTCACGGTGCTGGGCAGGGTTGGGCTTGGGGGATCTTCTAGATTAAATACCTGGTAAAGGGGGACCCTGCGGCCCCAGCTCAGAGCAGCGCAGCAAAGCACGAACACATCGCGATTAGCCAAACGTCGACCTGGCAGCGATCGGGGTGCGTGCATGTTAAGGGCAGGGTTTGGGGTTTAGGGTTGGGTGGTATCGGGGAAGTGTGCATAGTTGGACAATGGAAAATGCAGAGATAAAGGTCTGTCAGGCTATGCTTGCTTCGTAATGACATTACATTCCAAGTCTCGGATGTGCCACAGGATAACAAATCTTGTGAGGCTTGCACAGCTTCCCCCCTACAGCCTCTCGGCCAGGATGATTCAGAGACACGCAGGCCTACATAGAACCCCAAGTCTTTAAGCATCCATGCTGGAGGCCTCGAAGCAAATCCCCCAAACCGCAAAACACCACCACTGATGCCTCACATGCGAATCCGGATTTGCAAGATGTATGAGCAGTCTGACTGCGCCGAGCCGCAAAATACCCGGTAATCATAAGTAACCAACCTCCTAGGATGTAAATGATAAGAGTCAAAGCCCAAAAGGCCCGGAGCTGGTAAGGCTGCCACATCAGCTCAAGGCTGCCCTGCCAGCTGTGCAAGTTCCTTTGGCTTTCTTCTGCTTTGACAAGGCAGGGTCCAGAGTCTAGAGCTTTTATAGGGTTTAGGGGAGATTTGGACTTAGGATTTGTGATTAGTATGTTTTATCCTTTCGGGGCTGGGGGTTTGAGGACTTTCGGAGTGTGAGAAAGTATAGGACAGAAGGCTGAATAAGTTTGAAAGTTCGCAGATCACTTGCTAGGGAGCCGGCCAATCATCCCTGCACTTTCGTCCTAAACTTTAGCTTCAACCATACTCTGGCCCTATACCGTCAGTAACTGGCGGCGCCATACCAGTAGCTGAAACTGCGCTTGGGTTCCCTTTGCTTAGGATCTTGGCGCCTGCTGGACCAGGGGGAACGGCGGCTTTCAGAGTCGACGCCCGAGATCGCAGCTACCTAGATCTATGACATTGTCATCAACTGGTCGAGATGCATGCCTTTCAGCCTTGCAGGGCGTCCCTTAACCTTGGGAGTGGTTGATTACTAAACGAGCATCAGAATGTTGCATCCAAGGCTCACCCATGCTTGCAGCAGCAGCCTGCTGCGAATGCAGGCCGTCAAGGGTGGTAGAATATCAATGCCTTCATCCAACCATCACAACATCAACCACAGCGATCAATGTCATCATCACAGCCGAAATGCAGATGCAGAACATGCTGCGCCGGCTCATGGAAACAACAACAACTGAGACTAATTGCGGTCCGGCTTGCAGTGCCCAAAAAGCTGAAGCCGAATTCCCAAACGTTGATGGAAGGAGGGCCTACCGTCAGCAAACCTCCCATCGACTAAAGGCTGATACGCTAAAGTCCTCACGTCAACCTTCCCCCACACGTCCAAAAGCCTGAATGCCTGAAGTTATTCTTCGGATGGTAGCTCATTGCCGCAGCACTCCTATGCACGCCTAAAGCCAGTGTTGAATGGCTGCCACCAATACACTGTATGAACTACTGCAGCTAAACACCGCCAAGCATCCCCTTCCTTCCCCACTCCCCACCCCGACCCCGCAACGACGCACAGCTAGATTCGTACAAACATCACACAGAGCGACCACACTCTCCAGCAGCACCACCTCCACCACAAAGAAAAGAAGGATGATACAAGCAGGTGACGTTAACATGATTTTCTGCCTCTTGGTCACGCTGTCGGGCTGCAGAGAAAAGTCTTGCCTCAAGATGTCTGTTGCCCTGTCGCAGCCCCATTCGGAATACAAATTGCGCAGGCTCCAGTTAACACTGTTCACAACGAGAAACTGTACTCAAGCATGCTACTAGTGCTGCCAAACTGCAGTTGTGCTGCCAGCTCAAGGGCACGGGACCACTGTCCTTTTCAAGAGAGCACCCAACGCACGTTACGGTCGTCGGTATTGTGTGTGGCTTGGGGGTGCTTCGTGGGTTTCAGCGTTTCTGTGCTGCTCAGGAATTCCAGCATTGGTTAAGGGAGCGTGAAACCCCGAAGATGCATAAGCTGTTGCAGCACACGATGATGCGATGCGCACAACACCATTCCTGCCGCTACACAAGCGCCGAGACCAGGGTTGAAGGCAGCAAGGTCGGGCTGCTGAGAGCTGCCGCGCATCTCCTGCTGTGGATACAGAAGCAAATCAGATGGAAATGGGTGATGCGCTGCATCGATGGACAACCGCACAAGAAAGATAACGAAAAATGAATGCGAAAGATGTTGAAGGCAAATAAGACTGCTTTGCTGTCGCCGCACCACGAAGTTGAAAAGCCCCTGCAGCAACAGCAGCAGTGGCAGCAGAAGCAGAAGCAGCGACAGCAAATAAGAAACAAAGCAAAAACAGCAGCAACAGCAACAACAACAACAACAACCACACCGACACCAACGCCAACACCAACATCAGCAAAATGGAAACAACAGCAGCAGCAGCAGCCGCAACAGCAGCAGCAGCAACTGCGACGGCGACATCGAGGACGACGGCGACAGCCACTGCAACAGAAACAGTAAACATATCAAAATCTGCAACAGCAACAACAACAGCGGCATCAGCAACAGCAACAGCAAAGTCAAAGGCAATGGCACCAGCAGAAGCAGCAGCAGCCGCTCCAGCAGCAACATAAAAACAGTGGCAGCAACAGCATCAACAGCAGCACCAGCACCAGCACCAGCACCGGCCCCAACCCCAGCCCCAGCTCCAGCCCCAGCACCAGCGCCGGCACCAGCAAAAACAACAACAGCAACAGGAACAGCAATGAACACAAGAAACACCAGCAACAATAACAAAAAACTTACAGCAACAGCAGCAACAGCAACAGCAACAACAATAACACGTCCTATAATCCGTCTTCAGCGGATAGCATCCATGGCCCAACCATGATGAAGTGCATGCTCTAATCCGTCCAGAGTGGAAGGCATCCATGGTCCAAAAATTCCAACCATGATGACGTCCATGATCTACGTACTCCGTCGTGATTGGAGAACACCCATGGCCCAGCCGTGATGACGTCCATGGTCTAACCAGCTTTGAGAGGAGAAAACTTATATGGTCCCACCGCAATGACATCGAAACTCAAACCCATCTGTAACTCAGAAATATTCGGAACATCCATGGCCCAACCAAGATGACATCCGCGGTTTAGTCGGTCTTGAATGCAGCGCATGCGTGGCCCAACCATGATGACGTGCGTGCTCCAATCCGTCTTGAGTGGAAAGCATCCATGGCCCAAACATGATAATTTCCACCCTTCTTGAGAAATGGACCGACCATGATGACTTCCGTGGACTAATCGGAATGCAGAGCGTCCATGGCCCGACCAGGACGCCGGTGGTCTCATCTGCTTTTGAAGGCTGGGTGTGGTGGCTGGATGGATGCTACCAGGCTGGAAGGAGGAGTGGAGGGGTACGGGTTGGTTGGGCTGGGGGTTTTAAATGCAATACATTCTGTAGATATTAACAAAGTAAATCAGTTATCAATCTGGAGAGCTGAGATGTAATGAGCTGGGCTTTGCCCGGTGCTGGGTGGGGCTGGTGACTGGGGGCTGGGGCCCGGAGCCTGAACTGGGACCTGGGGCTGAGCTAGGCGGCTTGAAAAGCCAGCAAAACGCCAGATGCCACGGTGTCTTCAGATGTCCGTATGGAACTGCCTCATGCACTGTGAATGCACCGTCGAAGTGTGGAATGATGGCCTTGTCCTTTGGGCCCCCCAGCGGGCACCTGTAAGTCCCTGAGCCTGACCGCAGAACCATCTTGCAATATGTATATCAAAGAAATATCTCTTTATCGGCCACAATAACTCCCGGCATAGCAGTTGGAAAGCACTTTGTCACATACTCCTGGAGGCCCGCACGTCCAAGGCGCACGCGTCCCGCCGTCCAAGGCGCACGCATCGTTTTTTTTCCGTCCAGGGCGCACGCACGTCTTCGTTTGCATTGGTTTTTGCCACGTAAAACGAATCTTTGGGAATCCAAAAATTCCTTTGGTTTAGGCTTGTGCTGTTCTTTTCATTGGTTTTGCCACGTAAAACGAATCTTTGGGAATCCAAAAACTCCTTTGGTTTAGGTTGTGCTCTTCTTTTCATTGGTTTTTGCCACGTAAAACGAATCTTTGGGAATCCCCAAATTCCTTTGGTTTAGGCTTGTGCTTTTCTTTTCATTGGTTTTTGCCACGTAAAACAAATCTTTTGGAATTAGGGTTTAGGGTTTCGGGTTCAGGGTGGTCTTCTTTTCCTTGGTTTTCTCCACGTATTTTGAAGATTTTAGGGTTTAGGGTTTCGGGTTTAGGGATTCGGGTTCAGGGATTCGGGTTTAGGGTCTTCGGGTTTCGGGTTTCGGGTTTTGGGATTCGGGTTTAGGGTTTCGGGTTTAGGGATTCGGGTTTCGGGTTTAGGGATTCGGGTTTAGGGTTTTCGGGTTCAGGGTTTCGGTTTTAGGGTTTGGGGTTTCGGTTTCAGGGTTTGGGGTT